AACCTGCTCCAGTGGAAGGTGTCCCTGTCCGGAGCTGAAGGACCTTTAAGGTCCCTTTCGGTGCAAACCAGTCTGTGATCCTGTTAAATGTCTTCTCTACCCTGTGTTGCCCAGATCACACACGGGTTGCCAGTGCAAAGCATTGACTGGAAAAGAGTTAGAGATCAATACATGAAAACATCTGAGTGTGAACAATCCATCCACTGCTCCAAAACCAGGTGCCATCAGGGGTTCACTGTGGAAGGGATTGCCACTTTGACCCACTACACCCAGAGAAGAGAACAAGCTCGAGAGGACAGAGATCCATGTATGAGGAGGACCCCAGCCCCGTGGTGGGCTCTGGGCTGGCAGCTGCTGCCACCTCCACTCTCCTGCTCCAAATCCAGAGTCTTGTGCTTAAAAACTCATTGTTACATTTTGCTTTAAATAACACATCCATTTTCTGTACACCATAAGAGTATTCATTTTATGTATCTTTAAATGTTTACATCAAATGTCTACAAAATCCAAGAATATTTATCCATACATTTTAGCCAGAAGTACTTAAAATATTAACAAAAATGGTTCTTCTTACATCAGCATTTTTAAACCAAGCAACTGTTCCAAATTTTGGAAAACCAAGGGTTACTCATAATTGCTGCAAGTAAAACAAGGAATGCCAATGACAGGCCTTTAGCAAGACACTGGGAATATGGTTCTCCTGCAAAAAGAAAGAAAGGAAAAAGAAAGTATAAGCATATGAGTGCTAAATTTTAAGCAACCACCCAAAGGACATAGATTAAAGTACGTGTATAACCTGAACAATGCAGCACAAAGCAAGGAAGTAAGATGCTTCATACTTGTCAAACTTCATATTTTGTGTAACTTCAGTCCCTAAAATTGTGCAGATAATAAACACAGCAGTTGCCTCAGACCATGCAGCTCCCAGGACAGAGTCCAAGTGCTTTGATGCCCTCCGAAATGCCAGACGTTTAATCTACAGCCTCCCACGAGACACAGTCCACCACAGTTTCACACTTCCAGTCATTATCTTTTCCACGACTCTAACTTAGAAATTATCAAGTTAAAAATGAAACTGACTCCTTGGGGCATGCTTTATGAAGGAAGTTTAATTCCCTGCTACAAAGCATCCTTTCAGGCTGAACTCCACACATCTAGCGACCGGTTCATGGCATTCCACATGGCTTATTATGTTTACCTGTGTAAAACCGTGTCACTGGATAAAAAAGTTGGGGCCAGCACACATCATTTCGATTGCAGTCAAATTCTGTCCAAGAATTAGTCTGAGATCTAGAAAGAAAAAAACACCACACATAAAAGGAGGTGTATTAACACACCAGCATAAAAGCCATGTGTATTAACTACAGCACCAAAGAACAGCACGAGTTGAAAAAATAAGAGAGAAGGAGCGTCCAGGTTACAGGAAAAAATCAAAACTAAACCACAAGCTTCTTGTTATTATCTTATGACTTTTCTCTAACAAAACCAGGAGCCTCCCTCTACTCCATTTCAGTCATTTTTAGTGATTTTGTGATGAACATTTTCAGACAATGGATAGTTTGGGAGCTGCACTCAGCACCTCTTATCCACTCAAGTAAGCACCACAGAAGCTTTTCTGCTAAAACAACATTACAGCTTCCCAGAGTAATTTACAGGTCTTCATGTTCTTCATGCTCCTGGGGAAGATTGTCACTATAGGAACTGTTACTCAATAGATCATTGAACCAGGTCTTCTTGCTCTCTTTATTCCACCAAACCAAAGTAACCTTTTGATCAATGCTATTCACATTAAATCTGCTTAACATAATGGGAAGTATCAGTGTTGTTACAGAAATTACCTTGTCATTGGAACGGGTGGCTGAGCTGGCACTTTAATAAACTGAACAGCAGCAGTGATGGGAAGAAAGCTGGTGCTGTTTTCACAGGTAAGCCCACACTGAAATTGCCATATCACTGTTGAGTAACTGTAAGAATGTGCATAACTATTACTTGAGGTGTGTAAATGGAAATTTAGAGCCTAAAAATAACCATGAAAGGACAAAATACACAGTATTTAGAAGGAAGTTGATGAAGTAAAATGGAACAGAATCTGGTTATTTGATTGGCATTGATTTGGGTGGGGAAGCGTTTGTAAAGTGAAAATTCCCTGTTTTGGGAAAGAATAAAGCATTTATCACAGCTCTCAAGAGCTCTACATTGGAGTAAGCCAGAACACAGGACAACGTTGTCACTTCCACCATGTGCCAAGAATTTAAAACATTCTGATGGAATGCCTTGCATAGGCTTACTACTGGCAGCTTCTAGATTTTATTTAATATTTCAGCAAAGTAGAAAGATTATCTACTTTTAATTATTTTCTTTCATTTTCATTTCAGAGGGAGAAAGGCAAACCTGGTTGTGATCAAAGGAATCCGTGTTGTACAAATAAAAGGCACGTAAAAGTTAGAAATAACAAAATAACACTTTTGTTTGTAAAATTTAACCAGGATATGCGAGGTAAGGGAGGCTCAGAATGAAACATTCATCTGCCAAATAGCCAGAGACACGACTCTACCTGATCTGCACAGCAAGAATCTCTTGCTGGGGAATCCCTTGTACTGCACCCACTTCAGCAAAGATGATGCGAATATTCAGGTTTGCAGGAATATCTGGACAAATGCCTTTGAAGCTTCCAGTGCTCACATTGGTATCAGAATTAAATGGATCAAGACCTATGGAGAAGAACAGAGTTATTTAAATGGAAGTATTATGGAAAACATTATATTTTCCAGTGAAATACTGGTAACTGTCAAAGAGGAACACAGAAAATGTTCTCTCACCATAAAATGCCTATAAAGGAGTACTTCACAATCAGAGAATGGGCATATTTAGACTATAAACTACCCCACAAACCTCACTTACGTATAATTTTCACCCAGTCATTTACATCACTGTAACTTGAATTGTCTCTCTTTCCAATATGAGTAGCTTGTATTAATGAATTCAATTTCTCAGTTACATTTCCTCTGCAAAATAAGAATGTAAGATTAGACAAAAAGTAAATCTGTACTCTTGACCACTTTGGATTCCTTATTGTGTCATAAGGTCAGTTTCCTCTGAAAGATGTTCTCATTCAACAAAAACAAACTTGAACTATCAAGTCACCTGTTGGAGGGAAGAAAGAGCAAAGCATGCCACCCCAACATAATGCTCAGTTGACTACAGAGAGATCCAAGTGAAGCCATTATTGTAATTTCCCTTTTATAACAAAGTGCGATTATCAACCACAGAAAGCTGAAATGCATCCACAAACATTTAAAATGAATGCAACAGTGCTGGCAGTAGGCACTTGTAGACAATCATGTAATAAGCAACAAGAGGGATGCAGGGAAAACAGTTCATCCTACACAGCTCACCTTAAAAGGCTGCAATCTTCATCAATTTCAACTTCTAGAGTGCACCCAGAGAGTGAATCCAGCCCAAATATAACTGGTGTA